GAGAGTACAATAGAAAATATCTCCATTTCAATTCTTGATATTATTAAGAATGTCAAAAAAATTCCCAGTACAGAAATACCAATGCCAATAACAATATTGAGTAAGAGATTTCTAGTTTCATCGATAAAGGTCTTTTGGCTAACTTGCATCGATTTACAAAATGCTAAGAAAGCATCAGCACCTGTTCTTCTATTTTGATAAATATACATAAACTCATAACTACAATATTAATATTATAAATTTGAATTCTTCTTACCTCGTTACAACTTCATAAAATTTCATCTTTCCATTCATAACTGAATTTTCAATGTGTTCCAAAATGACGGAGTTTACTTCTCTTGTAGAAGCATATCTTTTAAAAATGTTAGTAAACTCTTTCCTTATTCCTGTATCGTTAGGGAGTGGAATATTGATAAGCTTATCTTCTATTGTAAAATCAGTAAACATTCCAGGTGTAAATACGCCTGAATTGGAGTTCTCCTCCAACTTTCTTAACGCTTCTCTCTTTAGTTCAATCTTTTCCATAAAGGTGCTGTTGAACAATTGTATATTATCGTATTCTGTTGTATTAACCAATGGAAATGGACTTTTTAAATCATCATAAAACTCCCAAACTATCTGAGCCATTCTCAAATTTCTAAATAAACCACCATAAGTACTCTGGATATAACATGAATCCTTAATAAGAGGAGATTTTGACAATAATGTTTGATAATAATTAGTTAATGCAAAACAAACAACCACCGTAGCAATACATAAGGAGAACATGAAAGCATAAGCAATTGTTCTTATTTTGGATTGGTAAGGAGAGCTGAGAGCATTTCGCAAAGCTTCTTCCTTTTTGTTCTCTGAGAGATTTTCTATTCCTTCAAAATCTTGTTTGCTTGTGAGAATTTCATCATCATCTTCTCTGAAGGCCTTTCTATCAACAGGGTAGATTCTCAAACTTGACCTTAAATTTCGTTTCAAGTTAGGTTGTTTGTAATGCTTTGATTCCTCTTCTTCTAGAACTGTCGCTTCTTCAAACAGTTGACTTGATAAGTTCTTGTCCAACTTGATGGATTCCACATATTTAGCATAGTGCCGTATAACAGTTTTATCATGTGGGAAATTCTTCATCAAGATTCCGAAATTTTCATCACAATACCTAGTTAATTTTGCTGAAAGAGAGTTTAAATTGGCTAGCTTTGATGTATTTGGCCTTTCAATAGTAAGCTCTTTCCAGAATGCTTTATGAGCAATTTTGAGCTCCTCTTGTTTCTTTTCAAGAATAGAAATTGCATTCTTAATCTCTAATGTGTACCGACCTTGACATGACAAATTACTTTGATCTCTTTCAAATTGTTTCACTCTATAATGCATATTGAGAGTTTCCCAATAATTTCCTCCT